CTTTATTGGAATCTTCCGTTAAAAAAACTATGCAAGAGTGATTTACAGTAGGTTTATGTATTTTTTTCAGAGAAAAAATGTACATATTACAGTTTTTCCACATTTCTTTATTTACGGCAATTTCACATCAAATCAACAGTTTTAAACTGTTTTATAGTTAACAGGTTTGTCCTGTCGTATTTTTAACTGTCTTTCACTGTTAAATATACGGATCTTTTTTACAGTGTACTCAAGAACGACAGTTGCAATTGACTCTTCCTACCAATTTCTTTGTCGCCACCAGCACAAGCTCCCCAACATGTAAAACACAGCTTTATTAAAAACAGACAAACTCTAAAGAATGCCCATTCCAGACATGACCAAGTTATTACAAATACACACTTTCCATAAAGCTGCCAAAACCCTTTATCTGTCATCTCCCTCGCTGCTCCTCTGAACCTTTTATTTGTAAAGCAGGGCCTTTATATGCTCTCTACACTTCAGAGTGAATGCTCTGCCATTCACTCTGCGGCAGATGAATAGTGTGACGCAACAGAGGACGGACAGTGTTGATCTTTTGACATGCTGTGAAAAAAACCCACTTGCTTCTTCAAAGCTGTTGTGTAGCTGACTGGGAGATCAGAAGGAAAAGAAAGATATGTTTACAGCTTAACTTAAATCACATATTGATTCAGTTGCTTATTTTCAGTAGCCATTTGTGTATATTCAGGCTGATCAGCTAAGCTCTTAGACTACTAAGACCTAAGGGGAAAAAATAACAGTGTTTACTCAGATTATGTAGGAATAACAGCCTCCTACACATTTTACTGAAAAACGTCAGTTTTGTTTACCGAGAAACAGGTTTTACTCATTGTGACCCACTGGCCACTCATCTTCATATTTTCCCCACAATTCCTAGATCTTTCCTAACAAAGGATGTTTACCTCTTTAGGCGCTTTTTAACATTTCTGTTCTTCCCTTAATATTCAGTGCATATGTGGATATTTTCACGATTCACCGACAAAAATAAATAGCAATATATTTTGCAAACGTTATTCTGTGCATGGTCATTATGGCACATGAGTTATATCAAGCAATGCTTGAGCTACCAGATAAAAAAAAAAGCATATGGTTAGACCATATTTTTGCTGAACATCTTAAACATGCCAGTAATAAGCTGGCATCCATTTCTTTCCATCTGTTTTACTGGTTGCATGATCCATGGCTTGTTGCCAGACCCAGTGTTATCTGTTCTGTTTGTGCCGATCATTAAGGATTAGGCTAGGAAAGTCAGCAGTCTTGATAACTACAGACCAACACTATTAGCGAAGACAACGTCAAAAGTTTTAGAAAGAAACTGGCTCCATAGATTACATATGTTCATTAACTTCACTGATAATCACTTTGACTTCAAACTCAAGCATGGTGCTGATTTTTGTATATATTCTTTGAAATAAACTTTAAACCGATGTAGAAGACAGAATTCATCACTTTTTATCAATGCCTCCAAAGCATTTAGGTGTGTAATTTATAAAGTTACTTGCTAAGTTCAGTCAAGGAGGGGTGCCAAATACATCATGAAATTTCTGGTTTAACTGTTAAAGACAAGCAGACATTGCAAGCTGTTGCATTTCTGCCCTGGTTGGAGTTAGTGATGGTGTTAGACAAGGAGGAATTTTGTCCCCAATTCTTGTCAATGTTTATGTTGATGATTTGTCAAAGAAATTAAGAGCCTATATGGGATACATGGTATTTTATTGATCCATTTTATGTATATAGATGATCTTGTTGTCTTTAGTCTTAGCAGTGCTGGTCTCCAGCGGCTCTTTCACATACGTTCTCCTTACTGTATGACGTTTAACATGATATCAGATACAATGTCTGTAAAAGAGCACTGACAATTTGCAGAAGCAAGTAAGGACAACTATCAAAGATTTCCAGAGTTGAAATTGTCAGATAGTCATTTTACTGTCTGTAACAAGTTCAGATATCTTGGACGTCTCACATCAAATGTCAGATGATAATGGAAATGTTGGATGAAGTGTGCATACATCTTAGGTAAATTTAATGCATGTGTCGATAGATAGACCATTTCTTCATTTAGAACATAATGTACACCTCTGTATATGAAAGACCTTTGGACAAATTATAGGAAAACAAGTTTATGGAAACTTCATGTAGCTTTTATTGAGGCTTTGAGGTTATTACTGAATACACTGAGATGTTTGTAACTGCTGGAGCCACTACATTTAAAGTTTTATTAACACATCTCATTGATAAATATATTTGCATGCACATGAAGCAGATACAAGGTTTAGCACCGCACGTTATCACTCTTCATTGTGGAGACACTGGTATAGGTGCAGAAAGGTGTATTTTTATTAGTTTTTCTCTTGTTTTTGTGTTACTGTATGTGATTTGTTTTGTTTCTATGGACATAAAGATTGACTGAATAAAAATTGATTGATAGTCATGAAATTATGTTGCAGCCAAGTGCTGCTGATCATATACACTTGATTAGCTTTATCATCAGCAAGACTGAGCACCTTTATATAGGCAGTAGTTTCTGAGTTTTTTGGTCTGGTGCATGTTAACACATCGTGGACGTTCCAGCAAATTATCCTAAGGTCAGAAAAGCAGGAAAATCCAAGCTGATGGGTTTTCACAATGTAATGTGATGTGATTTTTTTCTTTAATTGTTTATATTGGGGTTTTTTGATGTTGTTAAAGTAACTTTTCCATCATCACTATAGGTCATCAAAAAAGAAAAAATAAAAGAAAATGCAGTTGCAAAGAATGGTCTGGACTTTTACATCAAAAAAGCAGAGCCACACAATGAAATGAGAGAGCAGCCAAAAGTAGATTCTTACTTTGTTTGGTCATAAGAGGCTGAATTACATGCTTGGTTAATTTTTTAATTTTTTTTAACAGACTTGGGTCAAAGGTATTTTTTTAACCAGTTTTGTGGCTGAAGGGGAAAAAAGTGTAGTTTAAAGAGCGTACAATCATATGACGCAAACATCAGTTACTAAATCCCTTAGCATCTGACTGGTGTAACCATGTTTAAAATGAGCCCTATTGCGCTGGAAACTGTGTGCATGAACATGAATGCTGTGTCAACACAAGCTAAGTTAAAACCTTCACTTATCTTGCACATGATCAGAGTCATTGTCGGCTTCTCATCCATAGCAGCCTTATGTAAGTCTTCATTGTAGCCTCATGTAAGCATAAAATGCCAAAACCTTACATGTAAACAATAAAATGTTTTCTATTGTTTTTGAGTTTCCCTCACTAACATTATCTGTACCAACAAATATCCAATAAATATATAAAATGTTTGTGCTAATTGGTTGAAATTCAGAAGTGAAATACTAAAATAGTATTCAGGGCCTGTTTGCCTCAGTCACACATAACTGCAGGCTAAATTTTGATTACAATACACTAATTAGTTGTTGTTTCTTCTTTGAAAAAAAAATCAATAAATAAGAAAATCCAACTGATTTTTGCAAAAAATATGTGTTTTATAATTTTGTAGGGACTGTTAAAGACCTGCATGCAAATATTCTATCAATAACTCCAGTGCAACTTAGTCACAGTAACTCCCACAGCTCTGCCTGCTTACTACTCTTTTTTCTACAAGCTTTGTTTGCTAACCCATTAATTTGTTATTTTTCTCATTTGCGTACAAGAAATAACTTCATAGTTTATTTAAAGTTCATATTTGTGTCATTGATTCCCCCTCATCAGTATGGAAATTGTTGCTCTGTTGTGTAGCACTTTATACTCAGGAGGACGGCTATATAAAAAGTAAATGCTTCAATATAGCTAATTAGCGACAATAAGCTACATTTATATTAAATTTTCTGACTCTACATCCTCCCAAAGCCTAGCAAAGTCAAAAATGCTTACTGGTTACCAACAGGGCAAATTTACAGATGTAGCTTCAGTGGGACTTGGAACGGAAATGACTGCACCCACACAAGGAAAGTCAATTATTGGCAGAGAGAATGGTTTCACCTCCAAATTTCAGTTTAAAATTCCATGGTGACCAGAACTTTGTAATGAACTCTGTGACGTCTTATATCTGAACTCTCCAATACATAGCAGTGTAAAATAGACCATGTGGCTTGGTACCAGACAACACATATAGTTGACTGCAAACCTTAAACTGCAGCCGCTTGGAAATATTTGCACTAAAGCAAAAAATAAAAATAAAAAAAAGACATAAGGTTAATAAAATTCATTTTTGTCACTGTGGTCTGCTCACTGAAACTTTTTCCCCATTGAACCATGACAGTAAAAAGCATCTTGACCTCCACCAAGCAGATTCTTTGTCTAAATATAGAAATATTTTACCAGGCTGGGATGAAATTTAAATAATTCAATCCAATCAGTGTTTTTCAATTCAAGCTCATCTATATAGCGCTAAATTGAAACAATAGTTTCCTCAAAGCTATTTATATTGTAAAGTAGAGACCGTAATAATGTAAAGAAAAGCCCTATGAGCAAGAACTTGGTGATGGTGGAGGAAAAACTCAGTTAGATTGATGGGCAAGTATTTGCTTTGACCAGTTAGGATTGGGTGGATGGATACAGGATGAAAAGTTTGAAGTACAGTAACATCTTCTATCTATTTCTATCTTTGCTAACAACCAGTCAAGAATCAGAAATCCGCAAATGCCAGTGCTTCACCGAGTCATCCCGAAATACTCTAGGCTGTCTTATAGCTAACCCTATAGATAAGTAGTATTTATGTCTTCATTTGCTCATGATATGTGAACACTGTTTAAATATGCCAAAATAAGCCCTTTTTTATTGTACCCCCATTGAAAATCAGCATGAATATTATAACACTTAGAAGCCCAAGTCTAGGTCACTCTTTTCTTTGAGGTGAACTGAAGCGCTCATAAATATCTACATAACCCCAGCATGTATGACATGCTCTTATTTTGCCCTATGCTGTCAGGCTGCTGGAGGAGTTGCTGCTGACACAAATGTGTGTGTGTGTTTGTGTGTTTCAGGGGTCAGCCTCCTGGTGCCTCATGGATCCGTGGCTGAAAATATGTCCTGGGAGATGTACATGGTGATCAATCAGGGAGAAGCAAGGTGAGGCCACAGTTTACCTAAATATCATTTGAAGCATCTATCTGCCTGTCACTCTCTCTCTATCTTATCATCCATCTGCCCTGACTCTCCATCACCTGTCATCGCTGTCCTGCTTTGCTCTAATTATTTACTATCTTTTGTTACTTTGTTTGCAGCTGCAGTATCAGCGCTCTGTCATTGTGGGATGAAGGAATTCGATTTAGGCTTTCTGATATGTTTTCTTACAGCCTGTTGTCTGTGTTGAGTTTAGCTTCTAGTCTTCCAAGTATGAAATTTCAACCAAAACAAAAAAATAATTAATTAAAAAAATCAAGCTTTTTAAAGATCAGTTGGAGGATTTCATGTCACTGTCTCTAAACATTGTAAATGGCCTGTATTTGTATAGCGCTTTACTTAGTCCCTAAGGATCCCAAAGCGCTTTACACATCCAGTCATCCACCCATTCACACACACATTCACACGCTGGTGATGGCAAGCTACATTGTAAGAGGATAGCAAGACAGTCTGAGTGTAACACACATATGCTTGTGCTGTCTTTCATACTTCATACAGCCTTTTAGAGCCAAAATGAGAAGTTGTTTATGATGTGTCTGAGGCGGTTGGCTGACAAATCTTGTATCAAACAAAGACTACAGATACTCTTCTTAGGCTAAAAAATACATTGATAATGAAAGGAGCCTTCACAAGATATTACACATCAGACTCCTTTTTTCCATCATGGTTTGTAGTAGTCAGGATATAAAACTGTTCTGGAGGAACTTTGTTTTGTTGCTGATTAATAATGGATGATTGAGCTGCTGAACCATTAATGCTTGACCCTGTACTATCTCCTGTAAATTACATATGGAAAGCAAGATGCAAAACAAAAAAAATTTCCTGAAAAAACATTCATCAGGAAAGCTGTAATTATTTTTCTTACCGGTAATGCAATCAAAAGCTTTTGATTTGCAGGTTTTGACTCTGAACTGCAGAATGCAAAAACAAATGCCTGCACTGTTGGAAAAGAAGGTAGGAGAACATCTAAAAGAAAAATGGAGGCACTAATCAAAAGGAGTTTGCTTTTGTTGAAATTAGTGATTTACCTCTGTCTTTGAAAACTGTCTTTGATGAATGGTTTGCTCTCAAGTAAAATATATGTGACTAAATCCAAAATAAATTAAATGTCAGACAAAATAAGAAATGCCAGTTACGATAGATAGAAAGGCAACCTGTCTCAAACCAGTTGTAGCCCCGCACTGACTGACTGCAGCTTGGCGTCAGTCTCAGACAGATTGGCCAAGGATTGTAAATAATTGTTTAATTTGTAAATGCAGACAGATGGCAATACACTGCAGTCATTCTATGTCAATCAACAGAGGATTTGACTCAACTGGTTGCCAGCTGGTTGCATTCTGGTGTGTCATTTTCCCATCCTGCAGTAACTATGTAACTGTTTTCGGAGGAATTTCTTGAATTCTGTTTCAGATCCATGAGTTTCTGGCTGGACTCTGCATGGAAGCTGTTACAGTAAATTTCTGGATCTATAGATGACAAAAAGTTTGGAACCTTTGCTAATTTATCACAGTCAATCACTTTATTATCATAGATGCAACTGTAACTGCCAACTTAACCCCATTCAATCGCAAACTTATAACAGACAGACTCCACCTTATTACCAACTGATGGCGGCTGGTGGCAGACCTGGCTCCTCTCCAAACTCTATTTATGTGCTATAGTCACTTTGCTTGAGTGACTATAGCATTAATGTCAGTAGCATATTATTGGTATGATATGTATCAAGAAACTTTTGCTTAATTATGGCTTGTTTTTTGCTGTGGCCCTCTGATCATTAACAAACTGACCATTTGACCATGCTACAATCACTGCCGCTCAGTAGTTCAGCACATTTTTTCATTTCCAAAAGCAGCTGCTTAGTATAGTTTTTGACCAGCAGGAAATAATGCATTTGTTTCCTCTAGATAGTATTTCAGGCTCCAGGCTACTGTATAAGGGATGTTTTCCTCCTCTTTTTGGACAATTCTGAGGCATTAACATTTGGGCAGCTAGCTGTAGCTGATCCATTTCACCTCTGCTAATTTAAGTCGCTAAACTTGGCTCTGTTAGTGGTGTTGGTGGCCTTATGGAGAATCTTTATTGGAACTATCTGATAACGCAATTTGTGACTCAGTTTTGGTGAGTAATAACTCACCGGTTAATTAATCAGCTGCTTAGTACTAATTAGTAAGGATGCAACTTGGTAATCAGGCTTGCTAGTGTTAGTAGTTGTAGCAATGATAGTGATCATAAAGGCGTGTTACAAAGCCATCAAAAATCAACAAATGAATATATTGGCAACCACTTGTAAAGCTTGTACAGAAGGTAATGTGTGTGTGACCCTCCCCAAAGACATCTCTGCGTCCATGTGTGTTTACCCTCAGGCTATGTGACAGATGGGCCTATCTCCCTCTCTCTTTAGGAGCCCTCTTGGTCTCTCGATATGGTTGTTCATTTCCAGAAGCCCCTCACAGGTGGTAGTGTGGGCTTTGATGTCCTAGCAGCTGTGGAGAAACTCAAGTTTACACCACACGACCCAGAGGGGACTTCGCAATGGAGTCCTCTATTTAGATAACTGACTGATAAGAAGCAAAGTCAAACGTCCAATCCTCCAATGCCTTTCCCATCCTCGTCACTCTGAGAGTCAATATGTAGTTATGTACTCCACTCGGTGTCAACAATGTGGCGCTCTGGGAGAGAGTCACGACCCGGGAAGCTTGTTTAAACGATGATGAATGCAGTGATGAACGGAGCTTGGTTGCGCTGATGGACATGCACGACAGAATAGAAGGCACATATTTCTCTCGGGGCCTTTCATCTTGGCAGCACGTACATTATGCATTCTGATCACGGCTAGGTAATGACCCTCAGATGGACTGAGCTGTCTCCAGGGCGGAAGTTTGCACAGTCTTCCCTGTGGAGATTCACAAGGGTTTCTAGTTTCCTCTGAAGTGTCACTGTTTATTTACATGGCTCCACTTGAACAAAGTAGCAAAGGAGAATAGAACCTACAGGGAGTGCAGAATTATTAGGCAAGTTGTATTTTTGAGGAATAATTTTATTATTGAACAACAACCATGTTCTCAATGAACCCAAAAAACTCATTAATATCAAAGCTGAATGTTTTTGGAAGTAGTTTTTAGTTTGTTTTTAGTTTTAGCTATTTTAGGGGGATATCTGTGTGTGCAGGTGACTATTACTGTGCATAATTATTAGGCAACTTAACAAAAAACAAATATATACCCATTTCAATCATTTATTTTTACCAGTGAAACCAATATAACATCTCCACATTCACAAATATACATTTCTGACATTCAAAAACAAAACAAAAACAAATCAGCGACCAATATAGCCACCTTTTACCAATAATCATCCCACAGATGTAATATTATCTACAGCTACTCTTAGTACCATTGATATTAAGTTAGACTCTTTTTCTCCAATTGATCTTTCTGAGTTAACTTCAATAATTACTTCCTCCAAACCATCAACGTGTCTTTTAGACCCCATTCCTACAAAACTGCTCAAAGAAGTCCTGCCATTAATTAATTCTTCGATCTTAAATATGATCAACCTATCTCTAATAATCGGCTATGTACCACAGGCCTTCAAGCTGGCTGTAGTTAAACCTTTACTCAAAAAGCCATCTCTAGACCCAGCAGTCTTAGCTAATTATAGGCCAATCTCCAACCTTCCTTTCATATCAAAAATCCTTGAAAGAGTAGTTGTCAAACAGCTAACAGATCATCTGCAGAGGAATGGTTTATTTGAAGAGTTTCAGTCAGGTTTCAGAGCTCAGCACAGCACAGAAACAGCTTTAGTGAAGGTTACAAATGATCTTCTTATGGCCTCTGACAGTGGACTCATCTCTGTGCTTGTCCTGCTAGACCTCAGTGCAGCGTTCGATACTGTTGATCATAATATCCTATTAGAGCGATTAGAACATGCTGTAGGTATTACAAGTACTGCGCTGCAGTGGTTTGTATCATATCTATCTAATAGACTCCAATTCGTGCATGTAAATGGAGAGTCCTCTTCACACACTGAGGTTAATTATGGAGTTCCACAGGGTTCAGTGCTAGGACCAATTCTGTTTACATTATACATGCTTCCCTTAGGCAGTATCATTAGAAGACATAGCATACATTTTCACTGCTATGCAGATGACACCCAGCTCTATCTGTCCATGGAGCCAGATAACACACACCAATTAGTTAAACTGCAGGAATGTCTTAAAGACATAAAGACCTGGATGGCCGCTAACTTTCTGCTTCTTAATTCAGATAAAACTGAGGTTATTGTACTCGGCCCTGAAAATCTTAGAAATATGATATCTAATCAGATTCTTACTCTGGATGGCATTACCTTGGCCTCCAGTAACGCGGTGAGGAACCTTGGAGTCATTTTTGACCAGGACATGTCCTTCAACGCACATATTAAACAAATATGTAAGACTGCTTTCTTCCATTTGCGCAACATCTCTAAAATTAGAAATATCCTGTCTCAGAGTGACGCTGAAAAACTAGTTCATGCATTTATTACTTCCAGGCTGGACTACTGTAATTCATTATTATCAGGATGTCCAAAAAACTCACTGAAAAGCCTTCAGCTAATCCAAAATGCTGCAGCAAGAGTCCTGACAGGGACTAGAAAGAGAGAGCATATTTCTCCTGTTTTGGCTTCCCTTCATTGGCTTCCTGTTAAATCCAGAATTGAATTCAAAATCCTGCTCCTCACATACAAGGTCTTAAATAATCAGGCCCCATCTTATCTTAATGACCTTGTAGTACCATATCACCCTATTAGAGCGCTCCGCTCTCGCTCTGCAGGCCTACTTGTTGTTCCTAGAGTATTTAAAAGTAGAATGGGAGGGAGAGCCTTCAGTTTTCAGGCCCCTCTTCTGTGGAACCAGCTTCCAGTTTGGATTCGGGAGACAGACACTATCTCTACTTTTAAGATTAGGC